TCATTCAGTTCCAGGACAGTGTCGGGTCCTGGGGAGCAGGAAAACGGGTACCTGCACACCCCATCTCCCCGCACACCCGTCCCTGTGGGGTCTCCCCAGACCAGGGCTGTGCTGGAGGAGCAGGGACAGGCTCTCCAGGGTGGGGAGGGGCTGGGCATGGTCACGTGTCCTCTGGGGCTGTGCCCTGGACAACCTCTGGGAGGTGTGCTGGGCGGAGACACTGGGGCCTGGGCAGGAGGGGGAGCAGCAGGACTGGGGCAGTCAGGAGGCACAGTCAGCAGGGTTTGTTGAGAGGTTTGAGATTGTAATTCTTTAAGTTCTGTAGGGTCAGTGGAAATCTTCAAGCCTTCACCAATTTTCAGGACATGTTTGGACAGTGTGATCAGGTCACCTCACAGGAGACGGAAATGAAAGGTTGAACACAGCAGCACACGCACATGAGGGTACTAGACTCCGTGAGATCTAGAAGGAGTGATTACCTGGTAGATAGACTGAATCATTATCCGATGCTGACAACCTACTTATGTTCAATATTAGAATATTTGACAATGTTTTCTTCCTCTTTATTTTTTAAATGCAGATGACGGCTCCAGGGATGACCAATCTCACAGCCGTGACAGAATTCGTGCTCCTGGGGTTCCCCACCCAGGGGACCATGGGCTTCCTGCACCCGCTGCTCTTCTCCCTGGTCTACCTGTGCGCCCTGCTGGGGAACGGGCTCATCGTCCTCATCACCACCCTGGACCGGCACCTCCACACCCCCATGTACTTCTTCCTGAGGAGTCTGTCCTTCTCGGACCTCTGCCTCATCTCAGCCACGGTCCCCAAGTCCATTGCCAACTCTCTGAGGCACAGCAGCTCCCTCTCCTTCCCGGGCTGTGTCCTCCAGGTCTTCATGCTGGTGGTTTCAGGAGCTACAGAGCTGCACCTGCTCACGGTGATAAGCGTTGACCGCTATGCTGCCATCTGCCACCCCCTGCACTATGAGGTCATCATGAGCAGGGACAGGTGTGTGCAGCTGACAGCTGTGTCCTGGCTGGGTGGGGGTCTCTATGCTGTGATGAACACAGCTGGAACCTTCTCCTTGTCCTACTGTGGGTCCAGCATTGGTCCACCAGTTCTTCTGTGACATCCCCCAGTTATTGGCTATTTCCTGCTCAGGAAATTTAATCAATGAACTTGTCCCCATGCTCATTTCTTCAGTGTTGGGTATCTGCTGTTTCATTTTCATCATCATTTCCTACGTGCACATCTTCTCTGCTGTCAGGAAGATCCCATCCACAGAAGGGAAGGCCAAGGCCTACTCCACCTGCCTTCCCCACCTGCTGGTTGTGGTGCTATTTGTCTCCACTGCATTCTTTGCTTATTTGAAGCTGACTTTAGAGACTTCATCCATGTCTGACCTGGTCATTTCTATGTTCTACACGGTGGTGCCCCCCACCTTTAATCCCATCATCTACAGTCTGAGGAACCAAGCCATGAAGTCGGCTGTGGGGAGACTCTTGAAGGGGAGACTCACCAAAATGTAATAGGGAAGATGAGTTCATTACTCTTTACAATTATTTTAAATTTTCACATTATACTACTCTATATTCTTATAATTATAAAATACATATTAATAATATAATAAATAATAAAATAAATATTAAATAAAATAAATGATAAAATATATATTAAGATAACTTCATATACCCTTAGTTTTAGTTGTTGCTCTTTTTATCTCTTAGGTGCTGTGTGATATTCCGTGTATACTGGGGTAACTGAACTTCCAGCCACTCTCTGCTGGTCTCCATTTCTGCAGCTCCCGGCCAAGAGAGGCGATGGCTGGGTTTCTTCTCAGTTGTCAGCAGTTGTCAGCAGCAGTTTCATCTGTTGTCATCTCAGTTGTCCCTGGGGCAGCATCTCCAGTCTCTAACGTGGCTTCCCCTCTCATGTCACTGACCCCCGTGGTCACGTGTGGGACCAGGGGTCACGGTAGGACAGAGGCCCCTGTACTTAGTGAGTGAGGCCTTGACAGCATAAACAAGGCCGTAGGGTCCAAGTTAGAATCTGAGCCGTCTCGATCCACTGTAGAGAAGGACCCACACACCTGATGTGGCAGAGACCCTTCTGGAAGCTCTGGTGTGGGTGCCGCAGCGTTTACCATAAACACAATCAGCGCTTGGTGGACAGCAGAAATAAGAAAGTCAAGTTCCTGTGCACTATAATTACTAAAAATTTACAAAAATTATTGGGTGGGAATTTTTGAGAAACAATCTGTTCAAAACAAAATGACAGCTAGTAGCCTGCCTGGCATCTAATATTTCCAGAAGTGTGTTAGGGATGCCATCCAGGACCTCACCCCACACTTCACAGGAGTGCTGTCCCCATGTATTTCATCCCCTAGAGTGGGCGGGCGGGATGGCAGGACAACGCCCTGGCCGGGCAGGTCATCAAGAGGAATCTCACACGGAGTGTCCGCATTTTTATGAACAGGTTGAATTGAAAGAAGTCGTCGGATTTATGTGCAAAAAGGTAACACCGTCATTTGGTGTGTTCGTAGACGTGCAAAGGATTTGAAGAAGATCTCGTTTGGGAGGTGAAGCGCCCTGGGTGAGGCTGCTGTCTGGCCTCAGCGCCTCTCCGCTGACCGCATCGTCCTTTGCGTTCCCGCCTGTGACGTTCCATAGTTGAAAATGTCACAGCAAACATGTCATGATGAAATGGTTCCAATCGGATGTCCGCCATTCGGTCACTCTCAGACACCCGCCTGGGAGGGGCGGAGTCAGGCTGACCTGGCGTCCAGCCCGGGGGCTCCAGGTGGAGCCAGGCGAATCCCGAGACCAGCCGGGGCGGTAGAAGCGGTTCGGAACCCTGACCCGGGAACTTCTGGGCCTTTTCATTTTTAGTGCCGATAAGTGACTGTTAATATTAAGTCATGATGCTGTTCCACTCGCCAGTGAACGTTACGGAGTATGACGAGACTCCAGGGTGTGCCTCGAGCAAGAAGCTGGAGCTGACCGTGCAAAGGCGCTCGCTCCGGCGCGTCGGCCAGCCTTGTGCGACGTGATCAGAACACGTCAGTTCCCGGAACAGCAACTGCTCTAACCTGTAGGAATCCAGCATCTCGTCACAGTGAAAACCGCTGATGTCTGAGTCTTTCTTCCTGGGCGTTGCTAAGTGGCTTCCGTCGCCGTTTCTCCTCGCCGCGGTCCCGCGGCTGGGCAGTGGCGGGGCGTCCCCGTCCCCGGCAGCAGCGTCTAAATCCTCATCGCGCCAGAGGCCGCGCGTCCCAGCGGCTGCTCCCGGAGGGCGAGAAACGCGCGACGAGCTTCAGTTCACGGGAAAGCGTCACAGGCCCGCGGGGAAGGAAGAGAATTGTCGACCCCGAGAAGCCGGGACGCGGGGAGCAGCACGCGCCTCTCCCGGTCCCGCCAGTGAGGGCGCGAGGGATTCCCGGGCGGGGAGGTGACTACGGTCTTCGGGGGACGGAGTGACCGCGGCCGGGGAGCTCGGCGCTCACCGCGAGGCGGGGGCCGAGCCGGGCAGCAGCGGGGCCCCTCCGGACCGTCCCCCAGGGGCCGTGGCCGGGCGCCCCGGCTTGGTCCCCCGCCCCGCTCCCAGCGCCGGGTCAGGCGGCCTCGCCCGTCCCCTGCGCCGGTGGGGCTGAGCGCTGGGGGGGGCGCTGCCGCCCACTGGCCCGTCCGGGCTGGGGACCCCGCGCCCTGCCGGAGCCCCCAGGGGCCGGGGACAGCAGCTCGAGCCGGGGACGGCGCATGTGGCCTTCCAGGCGCGCCCGGAGCCCTCCCGGTGTCCGTGGGCGCCCTGGGGTCCCCGGGGTCGCCCCCCATCCCGGGGCACAGCCACCCCGGGAGCGCAGGGGAGGCGCGCTGGGCACAGCGGGGCGCGGAGCCCCGCCTTTCCAAACCGCCCTGTGAGGCCCGGGGCTCGCCAGGCGAACAGGGCCCCGGGTCTTCCTGGGCTCCTCGGGGCGCCTGGGGGCACCCGTGACATAGGGGGGCCCTGGGGGCCTGAGACCCATCGTGGGGTCACCCTCAACTGCGAAACCACGGCCGCGCTCCGCAGGGGAGCCCCAGAGCAGGGCGCGCTGGGAGGGGGTGATGGGGCGGGCGGGGGTGCGCGCTCAGCTCACCCCGCGGGGCGCCCGGGTGAGGAGCCGCGCAGGAGGCGCTGGCGCGCGCGCGGACACCACAGGGGCCCCGGGTCCGGCAGCCTCTGTCTGTCCCCGTGGGGACGGTCCCGCCAGGAGCAGGGGGGCGGTGAGGGGAGCCAGCGAGCAGAAGGGGGTGTGTCGGGTGAGGACCCGACGTGAGGGGTGAACGGGACCCCGAGAGATGCTTGTCCTCCGCCCGCCGCTTCAGTTCCCAGGCCCAGGCCCCGCTCCGAGGGGCTCTGGGGCTCCCCGCGCACCCCGCCCCGCGGGCCACGCGCCCGGGGCACTGGACACAGGCGGGGTGGGCGCGCGGGGTCCCCTCCGCGCAGGGGGTGGGGGCTGCAGGGAAAACCAGCAGAAGCGGCGCCCGACTTGGGACGCGCCGAGTCCCCAAGTCCGGCTCCGCGGCGGGCGGAGCCCCCGAGGCGGGGGCGGGGCGGGGGCGGCGGGGGCGGGGCGCGCGCCCGCGGGCTGTTGGCCTCCGCCGCGGGCCGGACGCTCCTCCGAGGCTCTCTCCGCCCTCGCCCGTCTCTCGCCCCCGCCCCTCCCGCCGCGACTCTTCCTAAACGTCATTCGACAAACGCCCGGATCTCCGGCTCTGCTGGCCAGTCCCGCGTTCGGAAGCCCCGGCCGGGACGCGCCTCCCGCCGCCGCCGGACGCCCCCGCGGGCTGAAGCGGCCTCTGCCCCCCGGCCGCGCGCAGGGACGGGGCGCACGGAGCCCGCGGCCACGCGGCGGGGCCCCTCGGGGCGGGCGGAGGCGCAGCGGGCGGGGCGGGCGGGCGGGCGGGCGGGGGCGGCAGCCCCCCCTGCGGGCAGCCCGGTCGCGCCCGGGCCCACGGACGGCCTCACCCGGGCGAGAAGCCGCCCCTCGCTCTGAGGCCGCGCACGCGGCCCCTCCTCGCCACCGCTGTCCTGACGGCCTCCTTGAAGTCTGTGTTCCTCAGGCTGTAGATGACGGGGTTCAGCAGCGGGGTGACCACGGTGTAGAAGACGGACATGACCTTGTTGATCTCGGGGGACAGGCGGGCATTGGGGCGCGCGTACATGGAGATCATGGTGCCGTAGTAGATGCTGACCACGGCCAGGTGGGAGCCGCACGTGGAGAAGGTCCTGGCGCGGCCGGAGGCCGAGGGCATCCTGAGGACAGCGGCCACGATGAGGACGTAGGACACGAGGGTGAGCAGGAAGCACACGCACAGCACGGCCACGGACAGGGCGAAGATGACCACCCCGGTGAGGTAGACGCTGGAGCAGGACAGCCGCATCAGGGGGGGCAGGTCGCAGAAGAAGTGGTCGATCCGGTTGGGGCCACAGAAGTCCAGCCTGGCGATCATCAGGCAGGGCAGGGCCCCGGTGCCCACCCCGGCCACCCAGGAGACGGCCACCAGCTTGGCGCAGGTCTCGGGGCGCATCAGGAGGGGGTAGTGCAGGGGGCTGCAGACGGCCAGGTAGCGGTCATAGGCCATCGTGGCCAGGAGGAAGCACTCGGTGGCCCCGAAGAACACGAAGAAGTAGAGCTGGGCCATGCAGGCGGGGAAGGAGATGGCGCGGCCCCGGGCCAGCAGGCCGGCCAGCACGGCGGCACGACGGTGGAGGTGTACCAGACCTCCAGGAAGGACAGGTGCTTGAGGAACGTGTACATGGGCGTGTGCAGCCGCCGGTCATGGCTCGCCACGGCGATGATGACGACGTTCCCCGCCACCGTGAGCACGTACATGAACAGAAAGACGGCAAACAGCAGAGACTGCCACTCGAGAAGGTTCTGGAACCCCAGCAGCTGAAACTCAGTGACAGCAGACACATTTGGGGGCTCCATCGCCTGCGGAGGGGAAGAGACCGTGGAAAGCACTGCGGACAAGGCATGAAATTCCTCGGTGCCGTCTGGAACGTGAGACTGTCTTCGAGCACTCCCGTCTCCACGGCAGCTTTCTGGAAGGATGTGCGCGGCTCCACCTGGCTCTTAGACCCCTGTGGTTTAGACCCGCTAGGCGAGGGGGGGGCAAGAGTTGGGGGAGGGCCTCAGCAAGCGCCACTCACCAGGCTCTCTGAGATCTAGAAGTTCCCGCTCAACACCACGGGTAAGAAGGGGCTCACTGAGCCGAACTCAGGAAATACAATGAATAGCTGGGCCTCCCTGGTGTGCAAGGGTTCAGTCTCAGCGCTGAGAAGCTGTCGCCAGCCACTAAGGCATGAGTTCAATCCCCGGCCAGGGAGCGACCCACGGGGCGCGGCAGACCTCTCCTGTCTCCCCGCTGCTCCCCTCAGCAGTGGGTTTCAGCAGATCCACCTGTTCTGCTCCCCGCTTTGTCTCTGGTCTCCGGTAAATCCTCTCACCCACCCCCCAACCTTTGGCCTGTACCCCAGTTCTTGTATGCATAAATAAATAAACCTTTAAAAAAAATAATCGCTATGTTTTCCTGGACAGGGCCTGAGCCCAGGCCCTTTCCTCCCACAGGTGACCCTCGTCTGGAAACAGGGCACACCTGGCCCGTCTCCCAGCCCCGGGAGACTGTGTTCTGCCCTCCGTGTTTACGGACACCTCCTCCGGGCACCTGAGCATCTGAGTGTGTCTGTGTGTGTCTGTGTGGCCAGGGCTGAGCCAGCCTGCCTCTCCACCGGTACCTTCTCACCCAGGTGGACGCCAGCTTAGTCATCGGACTTGGTGTCCAGTCAGCACGTCACCCCTCCTTTTTTCCGAGGTCTAGCCTAGTTCTGGACGAAGCCAGCATCCGCCCGCCATCAGGGGCTTCCCTCATCAAGGACTGAGCGGGACGTCACCTCTGTAATGCCCAGGCCCAGGGCTCCAGCCGCAGGCCCTTCCGCCTCCCTCCCTCTCCCCAGTGACTATTTCAGGCGCTTCTCCAAAACCTTCCAAGACTTTTTGTGTAGGAAAGTGATGAAGCTGAAGCGCCCGGAGGCCCTCCTTCACCGGCCCCCTCTGTCTCCCCAGGAGCCCGATGGGCGGTGCATCACCCCGTCCGCCCCCCTCTCCCGCAGAGGCTGCACCTGAGCCGGCTGTGGCTTCCCTTGGACCCAATATTTGTTCTCTTGCCCAAATTAACCAACACCCCCCTGGAAATGCCGCATCCCCCCGAGGAGCGCCGCCCGTCCCACCCGAATGCTCCAGTCTCCCTGCACCCCAGGCACGCCCGTCCTTCCTCCTGGGAAAGTGGACAGAGCAGCTGCCACAGCAGAGGCCTCTGTTAGGCTGGAAACCAGGGCGCAAAGCAGATGCCTTGGCGAGGGGCTTGGGCGTGAGGCTGCAGGGAGCGGCCAGCTCAGGGCTCCGGAGCCATGGTCCCTGGAGCTCTGCAGTGGAAAAGGCCCCTGGCTCCACCTGCTGGCTGCGCCCCAGAGCTGGCCCTGCTGCGTGGTGTCCGCCCTCTGTGCCCAGGGCCCGCCTGCCCTGCTCCCTCCCAGCCGCTCCCCCTCCTCCTCAGAGGAACCAGACCTCTGGGTCTCTGTTCTGACCCCATCTCAGCTCCTGCGCACAGCACCGACCACAGCCTCTGGCCTTCTCTGCTCACTGCTGTTCCTGGGCCCTGCCCCCGGGCAGGCTGACCCCAGGCCAGTCCAGGAGCCCAGGCTGAGGGGAAGCGTGACCCCACCGGGCAGCGAGTGATGCCATTCACTTTGGAACATGGTCCTTTCCTGCCATTGCCCCCACTTCCATGACATGAGCAGTGACCGGAAAAAGGCAGAATTTAAATGCCGAGACCACCAGGGCCTGGTGGACGGGGTCAGCATGGGCAACGTGGTTGGGGTCAGAGGGCATTTGGCCCCATTTCCGGTCACCTAAAGTCCCTACAAACGCAGTCAAGGACACAAGGGAAAAAGGACCTGCTGGGCCTAGCCCTTCGCGGCAGGACGGGGTGCCGGGGTGACAGGGTGGGGGTGTGGCGGGGGTGGGGGGTGGCAGGGGTGAGGGTGCGAGCAGGTGGCGGGGTGACGGGGTGGGGGGGGGGGGTGCAGACCTGCTCGGGGCTGACATCAAGTCAAGTCCTGGCTATTCCAGGGACCGGATCACCTGATTTACCACGAGCTCAGTCAACAAGACCCGCCCCGAGGCAGAACCTCCCAGGCGCCAGCCCCACATCTGATGTCACAGCTTCCCTGGAGCCTTTATGGAAATAAACATGCCCCAGAACCACAGCCCTCCCGGCCATCCAGGGCCACCAGGCGCCTCTGGGCTACGGCCTCCCTGCTGCTCTCCAGGCCCCACAGGGGGGGCGATCCCACCTGGACGAGCGACCGCAGGGCCTGCAGCCTCACGCTCGCGGCCCCTCACCCACAGGCATGGCCTCTGGCTCCAAACTCACCTCTCCTGGTGGCCTTCTGAGCCCTGGGCCTACCTGTCCGCCTCCCCGGCACGCGGCGCCCACGGTCCCCTGCTGCCGGCTCGGCCCTGCTGCCCTCCGCCCCGCACGCCGGCCCTGGCTCCCTCCTGCAAGCTGCGACGGGCCATCTTCTGCGGGTGACGCGGCTGGAACACGCCCCACCTTTCAATAACCCGGGCCTCCTGGGGCCTGGCCCTCGGGGAGTCCTCCCAGGTGTTCTTCCACGATTTGCCAACCGAGTTAATAAGCAACAAAAGCAAACTTCTGAGACTCCCCGCTGCCCAGGGGGCTCAGGCATGGGCAGCACCCCTGGGACCCGAGCAGTTCTTTCAAAATGTAGCTTAGGTTGGCCCCGGAGATGCTGAGCTGGACTGACTCCAACAAATGGGTGTTTCTCGAAAATGTAGCGAGCAGGGACCCAGGGGCCCATCCTGAGGGCAGACGGGTGCCAGCAGCCTTCCGCTTCGCACTGCGGTTTCAGGTGCGCCCACGAGAGCACATCCACGCACCCACGCGGGGAGACCCCCACCCAGGCCGACTTCCGGCGACCAGAGCACCTGCGCCGAGGGCGTCTCCCAACTCCAAGGAAAACGCAGCACCTGAGCCGGGAGAGGCCTGAGCGGAGCCCTCCACGTGCCCCGCCCCCTCTTACCAGCAGGACCAGAGGCCGCTGCATGGCGGGGCACTGTCCGCGACGCGCTTGTGCTTGACTTCATTCATAACTTATTTTCCAAAATACTGCGATCCGTGTGCATATTTTTCAGAAAACTTACAGACAGAACAGACGTCGGCACCCACGGCCAGGGCGCGGCGCGTGCACGAGCGCCCGCTGTGACCACGCTCAGGGGCACGGGCGGCTGCACACGCACAGGTGCATTTTGGGGCACTGGGTGAGGAGCCGCTGCAAGCTCTAGCTGGCACCACCGGGTCCTGGGGTGCCCGCGGCGCCAGGAAGCCTGAGTTCGTGGGGGCGAGGCTGCGGGGAAGAGCGTCCAGGCTCCCAGACGGGGTCCGGGGCAGGGTCCTGGGCAGGGTGGGGTCCACTGCACTCCACCCGAGTTGGCCCCCTGATGGCCCACCCCCCAGCTCTCCTGTTCCCCTTGGGCAGCGCACGCCCTGCGGCTGCGGCCTTGGCTGGCCTTCGCCCTCTCCATCACGGTCTTTCTCGCTGGTAGACGTGGGGAGGAAAACAAGCCGCACCCCGGCCTGTGGGCAGGCTTCTTCCGGGCGGTCTTCACACTGGGCCCCCACTCTTCGCCTGGCACGCCGCAGCCAGGGGAGGAGAGCGGTGCAGGCACCCAGGAAGCGGGCGGGCAGGCCGGCGGGCGGGCTCCAGCAGGTGCGAGCACAGGGCACACCCCCCCCATCAGCGCCGCCACGTGAGGGTGGCCGGCAAAGGGCGCTGGCACCCAAGCCCCACAAGGTCACCCCAGCACTCACGGGCCAGCAGGCGACCAGCCTGAGGCCTGGCCTGAGGAGCCTGGGGGGCGCCGGGCTCAGGTGTGCTGACATCCGAGGGGCCCCTCGCCCCGGCAGATGCGCGACGGAGGAGAGGAGGGAAAACGCCACCTCCAAGAGGCAGCAGGGCCATGACAGACGCGCACCCCGGCTGCGTCCCGAGCCGGCTTCCCCAGGCTTCCAGGCCCGGCCCCGGGAGCACACGCAGGCCCAGGACTGGCCTCAAGACCTTTCTGCACCCAGGCCGTCCTCCCCGCTCCCCAGGCCCCAGCCTCCACTGCTGACCAGCGCCGCCCCAGGCGCCCGTGCCATCCCCGCAGCACCACCCCGGCCCGCGTCCTCCCCCTGGCACGTGCCCTCGTCCCCGGCACAGCGGCCTGCTCTCCCTCGGGCGGGCGCCCCTGGGTGCGGGTGCACCGTCGGCGACGAGTCGGCATCTGTGTATCCGTCTCCACCAAGACAAGCTCCCAGATACTGTGAGATGTTCAAATCCTCACCCGGAAGCACCTTCCCGAATCCCTCCCTCCTCTTCCCCACGCGGTCGCTGGGACACTCCCTCACGCCCACGTGGGCAGCCCCTCCATGCCGCACAGGGGCCGGGCAGGGGCACCGGAAACCGCCAGCAGTGGTCACCCTCACGCTGGCCAGATGCGCTGAAGTCACCTCAGTCGAGGCGAAGTGACCTGCCCCCTCGGCGCCGTTTTCCTGGGGCGGCTGACTTGGGGCTTTGCTCATCCCATGGCGGGCCCCAGAGCAACGTGGCCGGAGCCCAGGGATTGGGGCGTGTGGGGTGCACCAGGCCCAGGGGTGGGAGGGCCGCCCAGGCAGGGGCAGGTCTGCGAGGCAGGGAAGGGGAAGCAGGAGTCCAGGGGGAGCCCTGGCGAGCTGGGGGGCAGCCACCCCGCGGGCGCAGGCCGGGGTCTGGGGGCCGGGGCGTGCTGTGCTCACTGGGGACGGTGCAGTCTGCGGAGGAAGCTGGGACAGGCGCTTTCTCGTGGGGGGACCCCAGGGACTCGGCAGTTACAGGAGGGGTGGAACCTCTGCCCCCCGTAAGGGTAGAGGCGCCGCTCGCGACGGGCCTTCAGGAGGAGGTCTTCCGGGCCCATGGAAGGAAAGGCTAAGGCGCACACTTGAAGCCGCGCACGGGGCATCGCTGGGTTCGGTGTGGAAAAGGGAACGATTATAAAACACCCGCGTTTCTTCAGAAGTTTCACAGATGACAGTTACTCATCCCAGCACAGTGTGGACAAAGTCTGGGTCCAGCTCCAGCAGTGCAAACCCCGCCTCTGAACAGGGTGAGGGGGTGCCCCGCTGCTCTGTCTAGACCTGCTCTCAGAACCACTCCCAGACCCACGGGCCCTGGGCCTGGGCTCGGCGCCGGGGAGGGTCCAGCACCCCAGGCCTGCTGGTTACCTCAGATGTGGCTTCCCCAGAGCGCTGAGGGCCCTGGGGGTGGGCCTCAGGGGAGCCAGAGGCCTCTCTGCTCCCTCTCCCCGGGGGATTCTGCAGTTTGGGCCCTTCGAGGCCCAGCGAGAGAGGCTTCTTTATCATTTAAACCCCTCTGGAATCAAGCGAGTGACGCGTGGGCACGACTTCCAAGGCTGCCACGGGGGTAGCATCTTCACCAGCCCCCCGCCAAGTTATTGAGAGGAGAACCTCCCTCCTCCCCAGGCTGGGGCCTCCCTCCTCCCCAGCCGGCTCAGAACAATTAGCCCTGGCAGGCAAGTCCCAGGGGAGCGCCTTCCTTCCTTCCTTCCTCTGGGCACGTGTGTGCGGGGGTGACGGGTTTGCGTTTATTCAATGCAGGTCAGATGCCAGCCCCCACCATACCACCCAGGCCAGCCCAAGGCCCAGGCCCCACCAGCTGCAGGCGGAGAGAGTGGAGGCTCCCGGGGCAGAGGAGGTGCCAGGGCGCGGAGGGGGTGCGCCAGGGCACAGAGGGGGGTGTGCCAGGGCACAGAGGGGGTGCCAGGGCACAGAGGGGATGTGCCTGGGCACAGAGGGAGCGCTAGGGCCCAGAGGGGGTGCCAGGGAGCAGAGGGGGCGCAAGACCAGGGTCAGAAGGGAGGTCTTGTCTCCAGGTCCTTCACCATCATGCAGGCTTTCGGGGCAACCCCAGGGCGATGGCAGGGTCCCGCTCACAGGGCCACCAAGGAATCGCGCACATAAACGTCGCTGCACACGGGTGGGGCAGGTCGGAGCCTGTCAGCTGAGCTGCGGGCCCAGCAGCCTGCTCACGGGTGGGGTGCACCCTGTGCCGGCCCCACGTCCACCTGGGGGAGCTGCTTTCCATACACCAGGGTCTCCCCAGGAAAAGTGTGAAACTGCCAGGACGTTTGATTCCCACGGCAGGGAAGCCGGGAGCCCCCCCAGCAGCCCAAAGAGCCACGTCCCCAGCCCCCGGAGAGGGCCTGCGAGCCCGGGGCTGCCCGGTGACTGCCCATGGGCGCCTCCCCGCCCAACAGCCCCCGGCGGCGGCCACGGGCCCTGGCCTCGCCTGGAAAGAGTCAGAGCAGCCGTGCGCCCCGCGCCTGTCCTGGCTGGGATTTCACCTTCAATTTCCAAAAAAGTACTTTTTGATTTTGCTTTTTAAGGATCCAGCTCCGATCACATTCCTTCTTACACACTTTGAAAATGTCCTTATTTCTAAGCAAAACAGCTGACGATAAACTTGCACACTTCTGAATGCTTCGCCTCGTGCTGATCTCCCTCTTGGAAAACCCTCTTCACAGGCCGCCGCCCCCGCACCAGCCGGCCGGCATCTCCCCCTTTGCGTCCTGCAGCGGGGAGGGCTTCCCTCTGCACCCCCATGCTCGCCTGCTGGGTCCGGGAGGACCCGGGCTTCCCATTCTCGGCGCTCACTGAGGTGAGCAGGGGCTGTGCCCCGACGGCCAGGCCGTGGTCCCCACAGGGGGAAGGCGGGGCGCAGGGCAGGGCCTGCGGGCAGGCAGGGCTTGGTGTCTGGGCAGCGCTGGCTGGTGTCCAATACCCAGGTGGGGCTGGCCCCGCAGTCCACGGGGACACGGGCTGTCCCTCAGGACATGGCCTGCACTGCTGTCCCCTGAAGCCCTGCCGGCCCTGGCAGCACGGCGGCCGGAGAGGCCTCTGAATAAAATGTGCACAGGAGACATTCTCGAATCATCGAATCACTTAAAAGAGCAAGGGAGCTGCTCCTGAGGTCAGACAGGTGTCACCTCGCTGCTGGGGTGAGGGACAGGCACCTGACAGCAGAGTGGGGGCGGCCAGAGGGGCGGGCGGGCGGTGCATGGCTCCAGGCGGGAGCCGTGCTCTGGCACACGCAGAGCACACCAGGCACCCGCTACGGAGTGAACACACCTGACAGGTGCGCGTACCTGGGGCTCCTGGGTGCCCCTGGGCGCAGTGGGCAGGGGCGGGCTGAGGACCAGCTCAGGGTCGCCGGGGTCGGGGCCCCCTCCCACTCCCCAGGAGCGGCTTGCTCCCCTCGGAATCCTGCGGAGGTCAGCAGGGAGTTGCCCAGGACCGGAACTAGGCGCCCCTGACCAGCCAGGGGGCCGTGCCCCCAGGGAGGCAGAGCACCCACCTCGGCCCCGCAGCTGCAGGGGAACGGGGGCGGGGCTGGGGGCCCAGGCCTCCCGCCCTCAGGGAGGAAGTGCTGAGTCAGTGGCTGTTGGTCTCCAGGTTTGTGCCCCAAGTTCTCAAAGCGGAGCTGGCAGAGCCTGGGGCCTGGGGCAGGGGGAAGGAACCCCAGGGAGCCGAGCGGCTGGGGGGGGCTGGGGCTGGGGCAGAGCGGGCGGATGCCCTGCAGGAACAGGGTCAAGAGCCCAAGCCTGAAGCCAAAGCAGGCAGGAAGGCAGGGCGGCCCCGAGACACCCACCACCCTCCACGCCCTCCACGCGCCCCTCCGCCGCCTCCCGGACCTGTTTTTCTAGGGACAAGCAGGCAGGCTCAGCCCGCCCCTGCTGAGAGGGAGACGAGCGCGCCCCGGGCGCCCCTCGCCCTGCAGACGGGGTGCCCCAAGCGCTGCTCTCGCCAGTGAAGCAGAAACTGCTCCAGCCTCTCCCAGAGCCCGCCCGGGGCAGGGCCATAGCGCAACATGTGGGCGACACGGCCTCGCGCGGCTCCAACCGTCGCCGGCACCTTCTCTCCCGCCTGCGCCTGGGGGAGCCGCGGCGACTGTCCATTTCCTCGGTCCCTTATGTCCCCAACTGGCATTTACTGGGTGTCCTTGTGCCAGACCCCTTCCAGGAAGGGGACACGGCCCTGAGCGGCACAGAAAGGCGCCTCCCCGCCACGGCCGTCCTGCTCTCCCCTCTCCCGAGCAGCTCCTGCGGCCAGGGCTCGGGCAGCCGCCTGACCTCCTTCCGCCCTCCGTCCGGAGCGGCCCTCCGAGGGGCACCGGCAGCCCGGGAGGGGTGCCCTCAGCCGCGAGGGGCGGGTGCCGGCCAGGCTGCTGTCCTGTCGGGAGCCCCGACCCTGCCACTCTCTTCCAGCTTGTCCTCAAAACCCCTGCGGGTCTGAGTTGCCCACCGGCCTCCAGCGCCCCAGACCCAGACCCCGCAGGCTCAGGGGCCTGAGCCACCGCCCCGCCCGCCGCGGGGCCTTATCTGCCGCACTCAGCACCATCTGGCCCCACAGGCTGGCAGGGCGGCTCCGCCTCGCCCTGCCCCAGCTCATCTGGTGGCCGCAGTGCCAGGCCGCTCTGCTTGCCAGAGCCCCTCCCCGGCCGCCACCCCACCCGATGAGAGCGCAGAGGTGGGGCCTGCAGGCTTCTCCCGCCGGCTGGGTCAAGGCTGCCAGTAAACAGCTTGCCCACGTGTGCTGCTGCCCGAGGCTGGTGGGGGCGCCTCGGGCCCAAGCGGGCCCCTCCCTGGCACAGAGGGCCTGGGCCAGTGACGCGCCCGGACCGGGCCCCTCGAGCAAAGCCGCAGGCCATCTGGCTCCGGGGACAGCCGCTCTGGCACTCGTCGGGCTCTGGTGACCTGTGAGCTGCCAGGCGCTGACCCCCGCCTCAGTCACCGCGGCCCGGGCGCTGGGCGGACCCCTCCCCACGCCGCCCCGCCCCGCCCGGCCCGAGCATCTCCAGCGCCGGGTCGGCCTCAGCTCCTTATCTGAGGAGCCGACGAAGCCCACGTTTGCCAAGGATGTGAGGAAGCCCGAAGGCCACAGGTCTGCCGGGAAATGATGGCAGGAAGGAGCCGGGCAGCTCCCCCACGCCGCGACGCCCGGCCCGAGAGCGCGCGGAGGCCCCGCCGGGGCGCCCCGGGGGCGCTGGGGTGAGGGTGGCGCGGCCGAGGCCCGGCCCTTCTTCTCCCCGGAGCGGCTCGGCGGGCGCCGAACCCCGGCCTCGGGGCGGCATGGCCTCGGGGGCGCCCGGGGAGCGGCTGCGCGAGGAGGCGCGCTGCCCCGTGTGCCTGGACTTCCTGCAGGAGCCGGTCAGCGTGGACTGCGGCCACAGCTTCTGCCTGCGCTGCATCTCCGAGTTCTGCGACCGCGCCGAGGGCGCGCCGGGCGGGCTCTTCTCCTGCCCGCAGTGCCGCGGCCCCTTCGCGCGCGGCGGCTTCCGGCCCAACCGGCAGCTGGCGGGGCTGGTGGACGGCGTGCGGCGCCTGGCGCTGGGCGCGGGCGCGGGCGCGGCGGGGGCGCAGCGCTGCGCGCGGCACGGCGAGGAGCTCAGCCGCTTCTGCGAGGACGACCAGGCGGCGCTGTGCTGGGTCTGCGACGCCGGCCCCGAGCACCGCGGCCACCGCACCGCGCCGCTGCAGGAGGCCGCCCGGCGCCACGAGGTGGGGCGCGCGCCGAGGGGCCGCGGGGGGGCGGCGGCGAGGCCCTCGGGTGCCCGCGAGCTGGGGGGGCCCTCAGGCTGGGGCGCGGGGCGGGCTGGCCCGGGCGGGGCTGGCGAGGGTCCTGCCCCCTCAGCTCACCTTTCGGGGGAGGCCTCCTCGCCTGTCCCGCAGGGTCACCTGCCTGCGCCCCGGTCCTGGGGGCCGACAGCTCTCACTACCTGCACCGCACCCCCTGGGGGAGGCCGCCCTGGCCCCTCACTTGAGGCTGGTCAATTCCTGGGGGCTGAAGCACCTCTCCTGGGGGGCGGGGTCCCCAAGGGCCCACACCCCTTCACCTCCCTGCCTCTGCCTGGCCCCTTCGGGGAGCCCTCCTCTGCCTCCTGCAGCTGCGTGTGCCCCAGGCGCCTAAGGGGACGCCCCGCACTGACAGGCGGAGAGGCTGGCCCAGGGGGGCTGCCCAAAGGCCGCCGGCGGCCACACGCCGCCAAGTGTGGGTCATGTATTTTGGCTCAACCCCCACCCCCCAAACTGAGGAGGAAGACTCCGGGGAGTCTTGGGGAAAGCCTGGGGGTACCCGCAGTCAGCGTAATGCCTTGAAGCTGTTGGGTGGTCACTGCCCCCTGGCCTCGCCCCACCAGGGTCGGGGCACTGCTCCGCACCCCCAGGCACCCACAGAGGTGCTGGCTGGGGACCAGCACCCCCTTGCCCTGCACTGCGGCCTCCCCGAGGAGAGCCAGAGCCGCCGCTGCGCTTGCCTGTGGGGGCATCTCGAGCTGGCCAGGGAGGAGCAGTCACGGCTGCAGCCTCCGGGTGGGCGCGGCGGCCGGCGGAGGCCGAGGGGAACCCCCAGTTCAGGGCCGGGCCTCCCTTCACCTCACAAAGGCCGCAGCACCGCGCCGGGCGGAGGCAACACGACACGCGACAGACGAGCCCCGCGAGCCGGCCTGCACCCCGGGCGTCCCGCGGGGTTGGGGTTCGGCCCGACCGCCACCCGCAGGTGCCCACACCCCGGCACCGCCCCAGAGGAAGCGACAGGAGGCTGCCCGCGCCGCCCGCGGGCGCCCCGCCCTCTCCTCGCTGGCCCGTCCGCTCCAGCTGCGCCCCGCGCAGGGGACAGTCGCGGCCCGGCCTCTCGGCTGACGGATCTCGGCGCGCACTGGGCCTCCGGCCGGCGCCGCCCGCGCGGGACGCTCTTCCCGGCAAAGCTTCGCTCCACGGCTGTCCAGGGGCGGCCCCTGCGCCCGCGCCCTCGCGCTCCCTCCCCGCCCAGTGCCCGGCCTCGGCCGAGGTCTGGCGCTGACCGCGTGTCCCCGCAGGCGAAGCTGCGCGCGGCGCTGGACCTGGTGCGCAGGGAGGAGCAGGAGGCCCTGGCGCAGGAGGCCAGCGTGGCCAAGAAGACCGTCCTCTGGAAGGTGCGCCGGCCCGGGGCGCCTTCGGGCCCCACGCCCCGCCCGCGGGGTGTCCAGCCGCGTCGGACGCCGCCTGTCCGCTCGCCCTGCCTCGCCCCCCCCAGCGCGTCGGGAGCCCGCGGGCAGCGCGGCAGGGAGACCCGCAGGGAGACAGGGAGACCCGTGGGCAGGGAGACGCGCGGGCAGGGAGACCCGCGGGCAGGGAGACCGCGGGCAGAGACAGGGAGACGCGCGGGCGGGCAGCGCGGGCAGGGAGACGCGCGGGCAGGGAGACCCGCGGGCAGGGAGACCGCGCGGGCAGGGAGACCCGCGGGCGGGCAGGGACCCGAGGGAGACCCGTGGGCAGGGAGACGCGCGGGCGGGCAGCGCGGGCAGCGGGCAGGGAGACCCGCGGGGGGGCAGCGGGCAGCGCGCCCCGCCCGCCGCCGACCTCGGCCGGTCCCCCCAGGAGAAGGTGGAGGCGCAGCGGCAGCGCGTGCGCCGCGAGTTCGACAAGTTCCGCGGGCTCCTGGCGCTCGAGGAGCACCGGCAGCTGCGGCGCCTGGAGGACGAGGAGCGCGCGACCCTGCGGCGCCTGCGGGACAGCCGCGGCCAGCTGGGCGGGCAGGCGAGGGCGCTGCGCGAGCTGGCGGAGGAGCTGGAGGAGCGCGGCCGGCGCCCGGCCCTGGGCCTGCTGGAGGTGAGCCGCGGGGGGCGGGGGGCCCTGAGGCTTCCGCGGGCTGGAGAGGGCGCCCCGCGGGCCGGACGCGCCGGCCTGGGGCCTCGAGCCGCAGGGGCCGCGGAGCGGAGGGACCCCGCGCCCGCCGGGCCGGCCTCTGAGACGGCTGCAGCGCTGAAATGAACTTGGGGCTCGGCGCAGGGTCGGTCAGAAAACGAAGACGCCCACGACGCGGGGCCCCAGGCCCCCCCCGCGCCGGGCTGCGCTGCTGTTCAGTGGCGGCCGGCCCAGAACGCCCGGCCCGCGCGGCGCCCACAGCCCACGGTCCAGCGCTGCCCACGGCCCCCTGAGTGTCCAGCCCCCCCCCGCCCTGCACCCCCGGCAGCGCCCACGGTGGCGGCGTCTGTGGCGCAGGGGACAGAGCCAGGGGCGCGAGCGGCTGCTCCGTGGACTCCCCTGGGGGTCGGAGCCGCCCGCCACTGCCCTCGCGCTGGCCTGTCCCCGCCTTCCCACAGGCCATGTGGGAGCCGCCAGGGAGCGCAGAGCCAGTCCCCTGGGGGGGAGGAACACCGGGCTTGGGGGGCGGCTCGTCCCACATGGCCCAGAACAGGCGGGGAAAGGGCCCCGCGTCAGGGCACGTTTCCCGACATAACGATTCCCAGGCGAGCCTCGGGCAGAGGGGCCCTTGAATAACCAATGTTCATTGCTGCACCCACATTTCCTTTGCCCCCCGCATCAATAAGCTACTTTGTGGCCCCGCGCTGCCTGCCCTGGCCGGGAAGGAGCTCCGCTCCCTCGCCCGCGCTCCTGTCCCGTCAGGACGGGCCTGCCGGTGGCGTCCAGAGGCAGGGGCCGGCGGCTGACCACTGCTGGCCGCAGGCCTTGTTGAGCGGCGCTGCTGGGCGCCGAGGCCTCCCGTTCTGATCCCCGGGGGATCTCCTTGCACTTGGATGGTGGGGCACAGATCACCATCCCAGGTTCTCCTACGGACACGCAGGCAGCAACTTCTAGGCCTGCACTGTCCACAACCACTTCTGCAGAGAGTGACTCTGCCCCAGCCGGCGCCACCCACGCCCGGTGCGGAGGCCACCCCCCCCCCCCCCAGCGCAGGCCCAGGCTCCAGCGCAGCAAGGAGGCGCAGACAGCGCTGGCCGCGGCCCCCCTCGGGCAGGGAGCTGAGTCGTCCTTTGACATTCCCAGGGAGGGTGGGCAGCAGCCGTCCAGGCCGTGTGGGGAGGCCGCCTCCGCGTCCTTGGTGCCCAGGACTGCTGGCTGCCCGCGGCCACCGCGGCTCGGCCTCACGGTTCTTTTCCCTCCCACTTGCAGGGGGTGAGAGGCGCCCTGAACCGGTAGGTCTGCTTTCCCCGTGGGGCCCGGCACGGGCGGGGGCAGGGCTGGGGTGGGGACCGCTGAGAGCCGCGGGTTCTGGGCCTTCCCAGGAGCAAGGCCATCGCGCGGCCGGAGCCCGAGCCCATCCCCATGGAGCTGAAGACGCTGTGTCGCATCCCGGGCATGCGGCAGATGCTGCGCAGGTTCCAAGGTGGGTCTCCAGGGCGGGCGCGGCCTCCCGGACCCTCCTCCCTGCCCGCGCCGAGCCCGCGCTGCGAGCTCCGGTCCGCCAGGACTCGTGGAGTCGTGTCTGGCTTGTCCTGGCCGTGGCGCTTTCACCTCAATCCGGCCTCCCCTGGGGGCCCTGCAGGTCGCACTCCTCTGCGCCAGGCCCAGACCCGCACCCCTCGGGGCCGTCGGGGCACGTGTGAGCACCGTGGTCCCCCGGACGCCCGGGAGGTCCAGCCGGGGCTGCCCTGGTCTCAGGCCGGCCTCCCCTCAGCAGCCGTGACCACCTCTCCCCGCGCTAGGAGGAGGCGCCGGCGGCCTCGCCGTCCCGGCCCAGTCCTTCCCGCGTGTCCCTTCCCAGCCGTCTGGGGGTCCTCCGGGACACACCCCCTCTTCCTCCCGGGCACCACGCCCGGGAGTCGGTGGTCGCGCTCGCAGGAGCCGCCGCCCCAGCCAGGCCCCTTCTCCGCACACCCGAGAGAGGGAGGCAGCTCGTGGGAGCCGCGCTTCTCTGCCCCAGCGCGACGCGGCCACCACCCGGCCACCGGCTGGCTCCCCGGCGGGGTCGCAGGTCGGCCTGAGGGTCGAGGCCCAGACGCACCTTCCCGCCCTGATGCCAGGAGGTTCCTCCCGCGGCCGCGGCGCCTTCCCAGGCCCCGTGACCACCAAGCCTGACTTCTGGGCCCGCCCCCAGCCGCCCCCACGGAGGCCACGCGGGGTTCCCCTGCGCTGAAAGGCCTCACGCGGGCGACCGGGTCTGCTCAGACAACCTGGTCCGGTGTGGGACGCGGTCATCAGAGGATCGGGGTTATAGCGCCCCACGGCAGCGCCCGCACCTCGGTGGGGAGCTCAGGCCTGTGGGGACCGTCTGCAGGTTTGGAGGAAGCAGAGACATCCACCCCCCACGGCAGGAGCCATTTTCATTTTCAATCATAAGCCCCTCCGGAGTGCCCGCCGCGAGGTGTGGACGTGGCCCGTGGGTCCCGTCCTCACCGTGGCGCTTCCCAGGAGCAGGCGGAGACCAGGCGGGGGCGGAAGTGACAGGGGAAGGGTGACCGAAAGAGATGGGGGTGCCTGGCAAGACCAAACGCCTGTGCTGTGCCCCAGGAGTTTCTAGCAGTGGGCAGAGCCCTGAACACAGCCGCCCCCTAACTGCTGTCCCCTGTCCCCGCCCTTCGCCCCGCAGAGGACATCAAGCTGGACCCCGCCACGGCGCACCCGAGCCTCCTGCTGACCGCCGACCTGCGCAGTGTCCAGGATGGGGAGCTCTGGGGGGACGTCCCCAACAACCCTGAGCGCTTCGACACGTGGCCCTGCGTCCTGGGCCTACAGAGCTTCTCCTCCGGGCGGCACTACTGGGAGGTGGTGGTGGGCGAGAAGGCAGAGTGGGGCTTGGGGGTCTGCGAAGACGCCTTGCCGAGAAAGGGGGAGACCACGCCGTCTCCTGAGAACGGGGTCTGGGCCATGTGGCTGCTGAAGGGCAATGAGTACATGGTCCTGGCCACCCCGTCCGTGCCCCTCCTGCACATGCAGCGGCCGCGCCGCGTGGGCATCTTCCTGGACTACGAGGCGGGCGAGGTCTCCTTCTACAACGTCTCCGACGGCTCCTACATCTACACCTTCAGCCAGCTGTTCTCTGGCCTCCTGCGCCCCTACTTCTTCATCTGCGACACCTGTCCTCTCGTGCTGCCCCCGATGACGGCCGCGGACTCAGAAAGCTGGGCATCGGGGGGCCCTCTGGACCCTGCCGGTCGTCTTGGGGACCAGCTTTCCTGAAACCCCACGTCGGAGAGTTCTAAACCTGGCCAAGGGCCCGAATGCATTGGGGCCACACACAGGCACCCCAGAATGCCCCCTTCAAGGGGCACACAGCGGCAGAACATTCCAGAACACACACGGGTCTATGTTGGGAGGTGCCGGGAACTGTTCTAGAAAGGGAGCCCCCTCGTCGCCTGCCTCACGAGGTTCCCGCTTTCTGCAAGTCTTTCTTGAGAGGGAGAAGCTCGCGCCAGCGTTCCTGGAAGTCTCCGGCTCCTCCCCACAACCTGCAGCCCAGCCTTCCCGCAGGAGGGTGCTCGGGCGGCCAGGACCCGCTCCTGCCTGTCTCGGCCTCGAGTTCCTTCTCTGCGCTCCTGTCCTCTGCCCCGCCTCCTCCTCTGGCCCCCCTCCACTGTCCCCCCCACACTGCCCCCCTTCTCTGTACCCCCATATGTACCCCTCTCCGTCCCCTCCTCCTGTCCCCCCCTCTGTCCTATCCCCCGCCTCCGTCCCCCGCCTCCGTCCGCCTCTGCCCAGGTCCCGCTGTGGCCCTGCCCCGTGAGTGCCAAGGGGGAGGCGCGGGCCCTGGAGGCTCCAGCACCCCTCCAGCGCACACACCGACGCATCAACAGCGCAACGAGGCGTTGACCCCGCCGCCTCCTAAATGAACAAAACCCGGCTGTGAATCACTGCACCCGGCGTCGCCTGCCTCCTCGGGGAAGGGTGCTTCTCTGTCGAGCACTAAACCTTTAGTGGCATTACTTTACTGCTCCAGATCTCCCTCCGGCCTCAGCGCCCTGAGGTGCGCGCTCCATCCGCACAGCCCCTCCCCGCCGCAGACACGAGGGGGACCCGGCAGCGGGACTGCAGCCCGCAGGCCACCCCTGCCTCCGGCTCGGGGCACGCGCCAGCGGGGCGGGGAGGAGCCGGCAGCCCCGGGAACGGGGTCACTGAGCCACGGAAGATTCTCGATTCATGCATGTGAACGAAACTGTGTGCTACCAAGGGACAAATTCTCATGGTCCTCATTTTCTGCTGGACGCGGCGGCCCCTGGGGAGCTCATGCGACGCCGCCTCCCCACGCGGCATGTGCAGTAATGACCCTGAGGGATCAGAAGGTCCCTCTCACCCAGGTCTGCTGACGAGCCCGGACCGCCCAGGGTCTGCTGCTGCACTCCCCACGCGAGCCTCCCCGGCCGCCACTGCCAGGGTGCCCTGGGCACAAATACCAACGTCCACCTGCTTCTAGAGGGAGGCCCGCCCGGGAGAGGCGCCGTCACACCCCCGCACCTGCGCGCCTGCCGGACCCCAGGGTGCTCCCAGGAGAAGACGGTGACCAGCCCGGGGACCCTGCCGGACCTGCCCCGGACCTTGATGGTGACCGCGGGCAGCAGCGGGAGGAGGTGAGCGGGGTGCCGGGTGCAGGCAGCTCCCGGGCGGTGACAGCAGCAGCCCCTGGGGAGCCCCCAGGACAGGAACAGGGAGGACACGTCTGCACCCGAAGGACACCCCCGCCGAGGCTGCACCCCTCAGGCGTCGCGGGCCCCGCTACTCCGCCCTGAACGGCACCCAGTGCCCACGCAGGCTCCTCTGCAGGGAGGCGCCCGAGGGAAGCCGGGCTCGGTGCAGCGAGCACGGCCGTGGGTCAGCGCTGGCCGGCAAGCTGAGGAGACAGCGGCTCCCCGCGGAGGGCCCGGAGGGCAGACTCGGGACACGCAGCCAGGGCCTGCTCCTGCGGGCGGCCTGGGAGCCGGGGTGTGCAGGGGAGCCGGGCGCGCCCACGGGGTGCCCGGGCGGTGTGGCCCCGACATGTCTCAGCCCGAGGGGCCTGCGCTGCGGCGGCTCCTCCTCACCACACGGGTCAACGCAGAATTTCTCTGCCTGGCTCGACCGGACGCTTGTCCCAGCCCCTCCCTGGATGGAGGCCACACTTCATGACACATTCCCAGAGATTTCCACATCCACAAACTTTCTCTCACATTTAAAACTCTCCAAACGCATCTGGGAAACGAGGTGCTCTGATGTGCCCCGTTTTCAGAGAGAAAAGCAGGGAAAGGCAGGCGAGCTGCGCGGTCTGCTGGGCGCAGGGCTGGCTGGGCGGGGGGCTGGGCGGGCGGTGCCCAGGGCCCCACGTCACTGCCCGCCGGGAGGCTGCGGCCGGCCTCAGCAGGGCTGCTTTGAGCGCCCCTCGCGGTGGAAGGTGACAAGGTTTCTGTGCACAGGGGTGAAGTCAGACCATGTTTTTATACAAAGTTTAGAGATGGATCCCCCTCAAGCGGGAGGGAGCATGTGGGGACGCTTTGCTTCTCCAATAGGACGCCCGCTGGAGAGATGACTTTAGTGTGTGTGTCGCATGTGAACACTGTGTCTCCTCTGGAACGGGACGGTCACCCCAGGGATGAGGAGGGCATGGACCGGCAGGGCCCGGGGGGAGGGTGAGCAGACAGCGTGTCCCGCACCAGGGACACTGCCCGCACCTGTGCAGGGAGGGCCGGGCTCAGGGGTCGGGGCTCAGAGGAGCTCGGGCACAGAGTCTCGGGAGGGTGGACATCTGGTGGCCGCAGGGGCCTCTCCTGTCACTGGGGCCAGGGCGGTGACGTGTTCCTGGGTTCATGTCAGCTCTGCACCCACCCCCCATTCAACACACTCCTGCCTCGGTTTCCCTTGCTGTAGACGGGGTGGAGCAGGGCAGTGCCTGTCATAGCAGCCCGAGAGACATGGCCGACATCCAGGAGCAGAGAAGCACGTCTGACTCGCAGTGAGTGTCCCTCTCCTGCGCCACCAGCACCGCGGCCACAGGCCCCGGCCGCCACCGAGGGGATGGAGGCAGCCAATGACAGCGCCCAGGGCGGCTTCGTCCTCTTGGGCTTTTCTGACCGACCCCGTCTGGAGAGGGTCCTCTTCGTGGTCATCCTGATTGCCTATCTGCTGACCCTGCTGGGCAACGCCACCATCATCCTGGTGTCCCGGCTGGACCCCCAGCTCCACACCCCCATGTACTTCTTCCTCACCCACCTCTCCTTCCTGGACCTCTGCTTCACCACCACCTCCATCCCGCAGCTGCTGTACAACCTCAGCGGGCGGGACAAGACCATCAGCTACGCGGGCTGTGCCGTCCAGCTCTGCCTCTTCCTGGGGCTGGGGGGCGTGGAGTGCCTGCTGCTGGCCGTCATGGCGTATGACAGGTTTGTGGCGGTCTGCAAGCCCCTGCACTACATGGTGATCATGAACCCCCGGCTCTGCCTGGTCTTGGTGTCCGTGGCCTGGGGCTTGTCAATGACCAACGCTATTGTCATGTCCCCCGTCACCCTGCATGTGCCCCGCTGTGGACACAACAGAGTGAACCACTTCCTGTGTGAGGTGCCCGCCCTCATCAGGATCGCCTGTGTCGATACAACTGGCCTCGAGGCCACGGTCTTTGTCCTGGGTGTCATCATCGTGCTGACGCCCCTGATCTTGATCCTGATCTCCTATGGCTGCATCGTGAGGGCTGTGTTACACGTTCGATCAGCGTCACGGATTAAAAAGGTCTTCAACACCTGTGGCTCCCACCTCACTGTCGTCTCTCTTTTCTATGGAAACATCATCTACATGTACATGCAGCCTGGAAACAGCTCTTCCCAGAATCAGGGCAAGTTCCTCACCCTCTTCTACAGCTCTGTCTCCCCGCTCCTGAACCCCCTGATCTACACGCTCAGAAACAAAGATGTGAAGGGGGCACTGAGGAGGCTGCTGCTGCGTGACAGAGAGGCGGGGAAGGGCTGAGGTGGGGCCGCGGCATCCCCGCCTGGGCGTGCTCCCAGGATGACCCGGATGGCGCCTGGCTGGGCCGAGTGAGGACCTGTGCTCCAGCGCGGCGTCCACTCCCCCACACACACCGGACCTCACAGATAGCGTCGGTTCCAACATGCTGACTGTTGTTGAGTGACTGCATGAACCAGACCACCCAGCCACCTAGATTTTCTGTAGATCTGGTCACGGACAACGCAGGTAACACCAGAGCGCTCCCTCGGTGGAGGGGGCCCTGCAGGAAGCTGCTTTTCTTAGAGTGGCCTCCTGTTGCTGCTTGTTGTCAAGCACTCACCTCCTCTGGGCCCTTCACACAGGATATCTAGGATATTTAGTTTCCGCAGTAGGTAAAGTTCACAAAGAAATAACCCCCCCCCGCCAGCACCCAATGGGAGCGACACAAGAACATCCCTGTCTGGGGAAGGCAGCTCTCCGCATGCCTGGTCTATACAGACACCACCTTTCCCTCTCCCTAAATAAACGCGTCATTTTAAAGTGCAGACTTTGCCTGTTTGTGTCTATGCAAACATCTTTTTCCTTAATACACTCTGCATGAGCCGCCGAATGGTAAATTCTGCCAAAACATTCCTCAGAGGGACCCCAAGAACCCTCACTTGAACCCCATCCTGAACGGCTTTAAACACTCAAGATCCAGAGCACAGATATCTTATGATGCCCTTCTCAGCGGGCGTGGACACCCGGGGCATACTGCAGAGAAAGTGTGCGGATGGGACATTAGCCCATCTGATAGCATAGGATGCGGCTCCCGTCTTTGAGGAGTGAAGCAGGTGTCTGTCTCATACACAAAACCACAAATGTAGCTCTACAAACAGTGCAAATTCCACCCACCTCTGGCCGTATCCAACCACGTTCATTCCTTTCAAAACTTGTAGATACGGAGAAAGATCAGGAGACTGGAAACAGACTTGGCCCACCTTTAAGACAAAGAAAGAGAAATAAATACCAGTTACCCCAGACCTTTGCCAATAGTCAAATACACACTAAACTTCATCTTGGGGGAGGAGGGAAATGATGATTTCTTATGCCTTTGAGATGTGAATTTTCTGTCCCCATATCTCTAGGACTTAAGAACTAGTCTTCAAAATGCAAATCTTGTGGCAATAATCCTCATCATGAGGGGAAATAGAAGCAACTGTTAGGATATTTTGAAAAGTGGAAATCTTAAGTATCTTCACAAATCATAGTAAAAAGCTTCAGCTATCTAAGCAGGTAAAAAAAATGTTTCCCACTATCAGAAACAAAAATTTGGATCAGTCATTCTTTTATAGACTTATCACTTTTATTCTGTACTTTTTCATGGCAAACTTTTAGCTCACATGCTCTGTGTGTGTGTATGTGTGTGTGTGTGTGTGTGTGTGTGTGCTTAATATAAGTTTGCTATTTTCTACCCTGGGAAGGTGCTGCTAAAATTAATTTGTAAAATGGTTTCAAATTAAGAACTTACATATATTCGGTATCTGACTCTCAGAAATAGAAAACCTAACTCAAATT